CATTTCACTTTTGATAAATTAATTCTCCATTTTAATTATGAAACTAAGATCTTTCTTTTCTATACAAATTTAGGAACAATATATAAAAAAATAACAGATTGACATTATGTTCTTTATTTTTTTAAAACAAATCATTGTAAATTACATTACGAGAAGAATGGTGTTAATTGGTTAAAATGAAACGAGAGACCGAACAAAAAATTTCCACCGGGTTATCTACTCATGCGCATTAAAATGTAAATAACATTTAATTTTTCTTAAAATATGATATGAAGCACAATACAAAACATTGAGAAAATGACAGCCTCGATATATAGTATACTTAGAATGTATGATTCGGAATGGATGGATTTCCCATATGGTTAAATAACTTTGAATATTTAGTCGATTTTCTAGGTATACCATGTGATAAACTAACTATGATTGAATCTTTTACTTTATTGTTGATTGAGATAGAAATAGCTCCTGCCGAAATTCAATATCTTTCATACGATAAACTTGTATGTACACTAATGGATACATTTTCACAGTATGATGGAAAGTTTGCGGCTCGGTATCGTTTTGATACACGATTTCAATTTTATTACGAGTCCGCAAGACATTATGCCGATACTTTAAAGAAATTGATTGCTAAATGCGATTTAAATTATGACATAACCTCACTTTTACTCGATCGATTCATTATTGGTCTTAAAAGTGATCTAGCTAAAAACAAATTGCTACAAATACGAAATTTAACATTGGATATTGCTATTAATTTGGTCGAGAGTATAGAAATTTATGAGAACATATATTACGACGCTATAAGAATAGCTGATGAATACTACGAGAAGCTCAAACAGATTTTATAATAAAACGGACACAAATTTATATTTTAAATTAAATAAACAGCACAAATTTTTTTATAAGAACTTTAAGCAAAAGAAGTTTTGTAAAACATTGCATATTGTTGCATATTATCTCACAGAGCACATTTCCTCCATTTATAACAAAGTCAAAAAAATAGTAGTATAGGAAAATGTTCCGTTTAAATTTGTGAATAAAAAAGGAAGTTATCGCGGTTAATTAAAATTTTAATTCTACGTGTTATTAATTTGAAATTCTTTATTAATATTGTTGAAAAAAAATATTGGTAATAATTGTACATCTTCAAAAGACGAAAATGAAGATCTCTTTGTTTATCGATCAATATTGTTTTTATTTTGTATAACTTACTAAAATATAACGTTTTGTTTCAGATATTTTTGCAGGTTTTGACGTAGCAGGTAGTCCTGCTTAGATATTTCAGATGTAACTAGTATTTGATGAAGTAGCATGTAAAAAAGCGTTAAATGATATTTTGGAAGATCGAAGAGAGAAACGAGTTAAACAAGAGTAAAACTTTCCATGTTTATTTTCGTCAATGTTTAAATTCGTAAGTAATACTTCATAAGCTATTTTTAATGCTGGATGATATTAATGCTTAAATCAAGGACTCATGCAAGACGCCAAACAGATTCTTATTACTCTTCTGTTTTCTGCTCAACTAAATTTGAATACAGAAGTTATCAGGA